ATTACTGAAAATACTGAAAAGAAAAAAAAATCCTGACAAATCTTCATTGTTCAGTTCTCCTTTCCCCCTTGACAGTCTGATAATGAGAAATGGTCACTATTAGAGGAAAAACACACTTCTTACCTGCACTAAAGCCTGAACAGCATCAATCTGTCCAGTTATCTTTAGGCTATCATCTCCTTCTCCCGTGCAGAAGGAGTCAAAAGAACAGGATGTTTCCATGTTGACAAGGCAGTGCCTGTTGCGAGCACTGTACTCTACCAGATTGATCAGCAGACCCAATCCCTGCAAGAATGGCACAATCAAAGAGGATTACACACATTAAAAAGGGATAGTTTAGCAAAAAACCATCTATCCAGACAAATGTCTTCTTTAGGCCTTGTCTTTCTGAGGATACATAACTTACTAGCACATTTTTATGGAACAGTTTGATAAACAGAAGGATGAGGATCTAAAGAAAGAAGAGGGAAGACTGAGATCTCTGTATGCAGCAATCTCCGTTTTTTTAATTCGGAACATGAAAACATTTAGAGATAAGATTTCATTTATAGATTAGGGATTCAGGTGTCCCAATGTTCATTAAAGACCCTTCACACACAATTTCACTGCTGTTACTTAGGCCACATGGAGCCATTTTCTGCCAGATGAGGTAAACATGACCAAGTCTTTATCCTCAAACAATAACATCCGCGGTACTTCCAAAGTTGGAAAGACATCTGAAGATCAGGTAATTCACAGATGTATTCCTTTTTTGAGTACCCCACTAAGTATATGTATGGTCAACAAAACTGTAGAGGCTGCTTCTTAATCTAGAATCAGAGCAGTTTAAATGCACAGGAAGGGGTGGAATCACTTTCTATTAATTTAACAAAGACAACATCTTACCAGCACCCGAATATCGAATCTTTGTTCTTGAGGTAGGAACTTTGGAACCTGAAGCACACAATTCATAGCTGTGCCTATCAGACCATCTTGTTCACCTGTTTTTGTACTACCCCATTCTGTAAACAAAAAGTTTAGAGGCTCAGTTTTGAAAATACTCCTTTTCATAATTGTTCATGATGTTTGATGCTTTAACACAGCCCGTGCAGATTTCGGTGTGTTTATTTACCGTTGTCGTTTGTCAGGTTGAGCAAGACCCCGATGATGGCCCTCATGCAGTCCTCCACTGCTTTGCCCACGTGGTTAGTTACATTCTGGTGAGGCAGAGGCTTATTGTCTGGTAAACAGACACTGTCTTCAGCACGGTTATAGCGTTGGATTAACTCCTCACAATGCTGCAGTGCTCTGCAGGGAGAAATGCAGAAAAAATTACCTCCACAACATAGAGGACATTCCATCTTTATACTCATTTCCCCAGGGAAAAACCTCAAACACAGAGTTTATGCAGGATTTTTCTCATGTCCAGACGCCCAGTCTGTAGGGAA